CGGCTAGTTTTTTTGTATTTTTTAGTAGAGATGAAGTTTCACCGTGTTAGCCAGGATGGTCTCGATCTCCTGACCTAGTGATCCACCTGTCTCGGCCTCCCAAAGTGCTGGGATTACAGGCTTGAGCCACCACGCCCGGCCCATTTTTTTCCTTTTTATTTTTGCATGTATTTATTTTTAATTTTAGAACACTGGAATTCACCTGATCGTTTTTCACTCGATGTAAAAATGAATAGGTAAATAATTTCTGGCAGGCAGTCTGCACGATTTGAAGAAGTCACTCTGCCGGCTAATGGCAGAGTCAGAAAATTCAAAACCTAAATGTAACTTTAACATTTTTGGCAATTGTTTATTTATAGAATGAAATGGAGTTTGGCTCTGCCACCCAGGTTGGAGTGCAGTGACGCAGTCTCTGCTCACTGCAACTTCCGCCTCCTGGGTTCAAGTGATTCTCCTGCCTCAGCCTCCTGAGTAGCTGGGATCACAGGTGCACACCATCACGCCCAGCTAATTTTTGTATTTTTAGTAGAGACGGGGTTTCATCATGTTGGCGAGGCTGGCCCCAAGCTCCTGACCTCAGGTGATCCGCTTGCCTCGGTCTCTCTAAGTACTGGAATTACAGATGTGAGCCACCACACCTGGCTGGTTTTTTTTTTTTTTTTTGAGACAGAGTTTCACTTTGTTGCCCAGGCTGGAGTGCAATGGCACGATCTCAACTCACCCCAACCTCCACCCGCTTCCCGGGTTCAAGTGATTCTCCTGCCTCAGCCTCCCGAGTAGCTGGGATTACAGGCATGCGCCACCACGCCTGGCTAATTTTGTATTTTTCGTAGAGACAGGGTTTCTTCATGTTGCCCAGGCTGGTCTCGAACTCCTGACCTTAGGTGATCTGCCTGCCTCAGCCTCTTAAAGTGCTGGAATTACAGGCATGTGCTACTGTGCCCAACTAGTTTTTTTAAACCTGTTTAGTAATGTCTTAAGCAGTAAGTGAGAACTTATGACCTTCAGCCTTAGTGCCAACTCGTCTGTCTGTATGGTCTCATACGGCGCAAAGAGGATGGGGTTGGGAGTCAGTCTGATCTGCCTGGTTCACTGGTTCCTCAGCCGCTCTGAGATCAGTGTTTTCATCTGTAAAATGGGAATGAACACGAACACTTACATTATATTATTTTTTGAGCACTGAAGGAGATTGTGCATGTACATAAGTAGCACTGCTCAACAAGAACAGTTTCTATTTTTCCTATCTTTCCCTCTCTCATCTGCCCAACTTCTTTTTTTTTCTTTTTTTTTGAGATGGAGTTAAACTCTTGTTGCCCAGGCTGTAATGCAATGGCGTGATCTGGGCTCACCACAACCTCTGTCTCCCAGGTTCAAGAGATTTTCCTGCCTCAGCCTCCCTAGCAGCTGGGATTACAGGCATGCGCCACCACACCTGGCTAATTTTGTATTTTTAGTAGAGACCGAGTTTTACCATGTTGGTCAGGCTGGTCTCAAACTCCTGACTTCAGGTGATCCACCGGCCTCGGCCTCCCAAAGTGCTGGGATTATAGGCGTGAACCACTGTGCCTCGCTGTCTTCTGCCTAACTAATTTCTTTATGCCTGGGTCTTGGCTGTCTTCTCAAAGGAAGGAATCCATTCTAGTCCCACTTCCTTGCGTATTGATTTATTTCTACTGTTGGACACATCAGAAAACTGTTTCTCCTCTGTCTCATGGCATCTTTCTGCTGATCCTCCAGCTTCCAGGATTCAATTCCAAACTCACTTCCAGAAAGCCTTTCTTGATTAACCCAACTCAGCATAACTATTCTTTCGGTTTTTATCTGCTTACATTTAAATAGTTTGTGTTTCATTAATTAGAATACTGTTTTGTCATTTTGAGACAGGTTTACCATTAACTTAAAAATATTTTCCTTTTTAATTTTTAGAATCTGATGTTCCTGCAGAACTCCAGGTGTTAAAAGAACCCCTACAACAGCCAACCTTCCCTTTTGCAGTTGCAAACCAACTCTTGCTTGTTTCTTTGTTGGAGCACTTGAGCCATGTGCATGAACCAAACCCACTTCGTTCAAGACAGGTGTTTAAGTGTAAGTAAGAATAAATTAATCTTGCTTAATAAAGCTTGTAAAGGCTGGGATCTGTGGTTCATGCCTGTTATCCTAGAACTTTGGGAGGCCGAGGTGGGTGGATCACCTGAGGTCAGGAGATCGAGATCAGCCTGGTCAACATGGTGAAACCCCCTCTCTACTCAAAATATGGAAATTAGCCAGGTGTTGTGGCAGGTGCCTGTAACTCCAGCTACTTGGGAGGCTGAGGCAAGAGAATCACTTGAATAGGGGAGGTGAAGATTGCAATGAGCCAACACAGTACCACTGCACTCCCGTCTGGGCAACACAGTGAGACTCTGTCTCAAAAATAAATAAATAAATAAATAAATAAATGAAGCTTGTAAAAATACTGTGTTGCTGTTCTCACTTACTTGTGGGAGGTAAAAATTAAAACAGTTTTTAATTAATGGAGATAGAGTAGAATGATGGTTACCAGAGGCTGGGAGGATAGTGGAGGATGGTTAATGGGTATAAAAATATAGTTAGAATAAATCGAATCTAGTATTTGGTAGCACAACAGGGTCAGCAATAATTTATTGTACATGTAAAAATAACAAAAAGACGGCCAGGCGCAGTGGCTCATGCCTGTAATCCCACCACTTTGGGAGGCCAAGGCGGTGGGATCACTTGAAGTCAGGAGTTTGAGACCAGCCTGACCAACATGGTGAAAGCCCGTCTCACTAAAAAAATGCAAAAGTAGGCCAGGCCAGGTTGCTCATGGCTGTAATCCCAGCACTTTGGGAGGCCAAGGTAGACAGATCATGAGGTCAGGAGATCGAGACCATCCTGGTGAGCACGGTGAAACCCCGTCTCTACTGAAAATACAAAAAAAAATTAGCCAGGCATGGTGGCAGGCGCCTGTAGTCGCAGCTTCTAAGGAGGCTGAGGCAGGAGAATGGCGTTAATCTGGGAGGCGGCAGAGCTTGCAGTGAGCGGAGATCATGCCACTGCGCTCCAGCCTGGGTGACAGAGCGAGACTCCGTCTCAAAAATAAAAAAAAAAAATGCAAAAGTAGCCAGTAGCCAGACATCATGGCGCACAGCTGTAATCTCAGCTATTTGGGAGGCTGAGGCAGGAGAATTGTTTGAACCCAGGAGGTGGAGGTTGCAGTGAGCTGAGATCATGCCACTGCACTCCAGCCTGGGCAACAAGAGCAAAACTCCATCTCAAAAA